TTTAGTGTACTTGGCCTTTCTAGGAGTCTCTTCATCTTGAGCTGTACCCCGCAATCCCTTGAGAAGCTGCACAAACATTCAGGAAGTTCATCTCCCTGGAGCTTCCCTGGGGCCCTGCTCTACGTCAGCCCATTATGCATCCAGTCTGAATCTTTTTCTGTTTCTCAAGCCTGAGGGCAGAGATGAGCATACAGAAGGGACACATCAGGTAGCAGTCTAAGGGCAGTGGCAGAGGCAGGAGTTGCATTGATCCCAGATGGGGCTACGGAGAGCTCACCAGCCCAGGTAGTGGCATTAAGGAGCACGTGCTTTGACACTCAGAGAGGAAGAGGGAGTATATAAAAATGAGGACAGCCTGGCTGTGGCCCTCTCAGGAGCTCACAGCAGAAGTGGGGAACTGGAGATGGAACAGCTCTAATGAAAGTGTAATCGAAGGATTGTTAGAACACAGGAGATGAAGGGAGTAGTCCCCTGCTTGCAGGAAGGATGGGAAATCAGGAAGCTTCTTGGAGGCAGTGGCACTTCAGCTGAGCCTTGGAAGATAGAATTTTAACAGGTCCGACACCCAGCTCAGAGCTGGACTCTTAAGAGGTACTTAATAAATGTACTTGTTGAAAAAAGGCCTCGATGGATGGATGAGGGGACAAAATGGAGCAGGGCAGAACTAAGTTCCAGATGTGCACAAAGGTCAAACAATGTGACCTGCTCCATCCTGGCTTGGGAATGGGGAGGCTACAGCTCCTCCATTCTCCCTGGGCCTGGTCTCCTGGGGATGAGCAGGTATGGAAGGCTTCAGGTGCAGTGGCAGGTGAGAGCACTGCCCCTCTGATGGGAGATGTCTGGGGGCTAGGGGAGCCCTCATGGCTGCTCTGACCTTGGTACTGGCTGGGGATATTGCAGGAGTGGGCAGACGCCTGCTGCAGGGGACTCCGGAGCGTCCACGCCTACATCCTGGTCTACGACATCTGCTGCTTTGACAGCTTTGAGTACGTCAAGACCATCCGCCAGCAGATCCTGGAGACGAGGTGAGAGGCTGGAACACAGTCCATTGCCACTTCTGTGGATGACCCAGTGCTAGCCAGTCCCTGTGAAAAGGGGACAGTATAGGGACAGAGCCAGAGGTATATGTGTTCTAAGATTCCCACACATACACTCAAACATGCATACATTGTGCTGTCCCCATTTCTGTTAACTCATGTGGGGACCCTGGCTGTGGGGGTGGCTAGAGTAGTGCAGTAGTTAAGAACTGGGACTTCTGGAACAAGACTTCCAGGGCCACTCAGCTGCATGACTTGAAGCCAGTAAACATTTAAGCCTATGTCCTCATCTGTAAAATGGGGATAACAGTAGAACTCATCTTTTAGATCAGTTGTGCTTATCAGAGACTATAACACCTCCAGGGCTTAGGGCTGCGCCTGGAGCAGAACATACGGTGGTGGTAGTATTGGCCAGGCACAGCCTGCCCTGCTGGGAGTACAGCGGTTGTGAGACTGACAGAGTTCTGAGCTTCCTGCCTCGCCCCGCAGGGTGATCGGCACCTCAGAGACGCCCATCATCATCGTGGGCAACAAGCGGGACCTGCAGCGTGGACGCGTGCTCCCGCGCTGGAACGTGTCGCACCTGGTGCGCAAGACGTGGAAGTGCGGCTACGTGGAATGCTCGGCCAAGTACAACTGGCACATCCTGCTGCTCTTTAGCGAGCTGCTCAAGAGCGTCGGCTGCGCCCGGTGCAAGCACGTGCACGCTGCCCTGCGCTTCCAGGGCGCGCTGCGCCGAAACCGCTGCGCCATCATGTGACACCTGCGCGCCCCTCGGGCTGCACCGGCACTGGCCGGGCGGAGGGTGGGGCTGTACTGCGGGGCTGGGGCGGGGAGCGGGCGGGAAATGGAACTGTGACGGTCCCGGCCTGAGGCCCCTGCAGCCACGCATCTCCCGGTGAGAAGCAAAGCGCGAGAGGGAGCCCCCAGTAACTGCTAAGCCCTGCCCCTTGCCCCCGTGGCTTCCTGGGACAGCCGTCTTCAGTGCTGTATTTAGTGCAGTGCCCGGCCCGACCCGCGGGGGTGCCACAGCCTTTTGGGATGGGGGTGAGCGTGCAATGGAGGGTGGGGGTGGCGAGGTGCCGCCTTGGCCGGGCCCCCACCTGTCTTTTCCAGAATGTGTCTGTCTTTGCCGGGTGTCTTCCTTTCCCATGCCCGCCCACCCAAGCGTCTGTTGGTCCTTACCTGTCTCACCCACCCTCCAGTCCCCCCTAGCTCCGCTCACAGGGCTCTCATTTCGTCCACCCCCTTGTCGCAGATCCTGGCAGCTTCTTTGTGAGGCCAGGCCTTCTGACTGTCAGCACCACCGGCACAGGGCAGAGATGCGGGTGGCCCAAAGACCACCATCAAGGGGTCCGGGGGCTGAGGTCCCAGATCAGTGAGGGGAGAAGGTTGAGCTCTCCAGCTTCCAGGGAGACCTCCCCGCCCAGCAGCCCCCAGAGACACAACAACCTACCTTCCAGCCTTAACTCGATGGTCCGTCCCTGCCAGGTGCCCCTCACTCTTCCTGACCCCAAAGCCAGATCACCCCCTGGGTTAAAACTTTTTTTTTTTTTTTTTTTTGGACAGAGTGTGGAAAGGGAATCCCCCAAAGGATAGTTTCTTTTCCATGATGCCAGGTTCCAGTCTTCTATTACCTCCTGCATACTGCAATCTGGTCTGTCAGACTGGGGAATATTAGGTTCTGGGGTCTGGTCACGGACAGGATGGTGCCCAGAAGGGGGTCAGGTTGTCCCAGTGAAGATTCTGTTGCCCCGTCTCAACCCCATCTGACTACCCCAGACTCTGCCTGCCTCAGATCTCAGACTATCCTGATTAATCTGGGGAAGAACAGAGCCAGGGAAAGAATGGTGGGGACCCCTGTGCTTGGGGGAGACACACCTGCATCTTCCCCCCGCCGGCCCCAGATGGAGGCCCTCAGGATCTGACACCCTTTTGTCCCAACACCAGTCAGCCCTATGCCCTAACTCACTCCGCCCCATTTTCTCCGGCTGCCTGGCCGGGTTTCTACCTCTCGTCACCGGAGCTGATCACTGTCAGTTTTGTACCGATTTAGAAATAACAATAATAGTGAAGATTCTAGGAATGGCATAAGGGATTGATGCGGGAATTGGAGGGAGGGAGAAGTGGTGCCCTGTCCCCTGCCCCCTGACCAAAGAAAGCTGTCCTTGAGGCTGAGCCCTCAGCCCTGGCCTGGTGGGAGGACAGCAGGGTCCCTTGTTATAAGACGGGCAGAGAGGACAACTCCACGTTGGCCAACTTAGCCAAGGCTGCAGCATATAGACTAGGAAATCAGGTAGCCCAGAGTGGTGATGGAGCGGAGTCTGGGGGAAGGGTCGTGGGTGGGGAATTTATCACCAACATCCATTGTAGGGGGAATCTATGATTCTGCTTCCCCGGCTGATTCCCACTCTGTCCACCAAGTGGGGGTAGCATAGCCCCACAGCAACCGCCTTGACCTTGGGCAGTCTAGTGTTCCTGCGTTCTAGTCCCTGCTGTGCTGCAGGACTTCGGGCAAGTGACCTGCCCTCTGTGAGCCTCCCTCTGACACAGAGGAGGTGGCTCCCCTTCCCCACACCTTAGAGTGGCTGGGAGGGTAACAAAGAGGGCCTGCCCCTTAGTCTCCTGCACCCCTGTCTCCTGGTTCACCAGAGGGAGGGGATGAGGGATGGCAGCATCTCACATGCCCCATCACCCCCAACTCTGAGGCACCTGAGGTGGGGGGAGGGGGCCCAGGCCTCTGGCTGCTCCCCTGTGGGAGCCATTGGAATGTATCCTCTGACAGGCCCCCTCCCGCCTCCACTTCAACCCAGGTCTTGGATTTCAGGTCCCTCCACCCCCATTCTGAGTCTCTGTCCTTCCCCTCCCACCCCCTCCCAGGGTTTCCCACCACAGGGTCTGGAAGTGTGTGTGACGCCCATTGAGCTGTTATCCGAAGTCAGATTAAAAATCAGGGAGTGTTTTCCCTCGTTTCTGTACCAAGGTGTTGGCTCCGTTCCTCATGGTAGGAGGGGAGGGATCCCCACAGGGCTTGCCTGCTGAGCTCCGTGTGGAAGGAGGGTGAAGGTGGTGAGGTGGCCCCCAGTCCCAAAGCCCAGGTCAACAGGGAGACCACTGGTGAAGAGTTTGGGACGTATCACCTTTCCACCTAACCCCAAACCCTCCAACTAATTCAAACCATTCAGAAGGGAAGCAGAACTTCTCCCCTGCCAGTCTGGAAAATTTCCATAATGGGACTGAATCCCAGCTTCTCCGTCTGCGTCTCGTCCTTCCCACTCAAGGCTGAGACTTTGCAGCCTCTCAGTCATAACTTCTTGGATGTAGATGTGTTAGGAACACTTTCAGCCACCCGTCTTGTCCCTGAGTGATCTCAGGACCCAAACTCCAGAGCAAAGCTTTGAAGTCTTGGGCAAGGGTGCCTTCCAGGAGCGTGTGTGTTGAGGGCAGGATGTCTCTGTCCGTGGTGCTGACCCACCAGCCACTTCCAGGAAAGATGGGGCTGCCTGTAAAGATTGGCTGAGCCTCAAAAGAGGAAGCCTCTCTCACCACCAACTCCTTCCTCCTAGTCCCCATCTCCTGCAGTGGGATAACATCTGAAGCTATACCTCCCCGCACCACCACAGTCCTAGAGGGGCTCAAGAAGCTAGGGGGAAGGGGGAGGTGGGCTCAGTTGTTCACATCTTTAATCCCAGTGCTTTGGGAAGCCAAGGCAGGAAGATCGCTTGAGGTCAGCCTGGACAACATAGTAAGGCCCCATCTCTAAAAAATAAAATAAAATAAAATTAGCCAGGTGTCATGGCACCTACCTGTAGTCCCAACTACTTGGGAAACTGAGGTGAGAGGATCACTTGAAGCCTGGGAGTTTGAGGCTGCAGTGAACCATGAGAGTGCCACTGCACTCCAGCCTGGGTGACAGAGCAAGACTCTGTTTCTAAACTTTAAAAAAAAGAAGCTGGGGCTCAAGGTAGAATCACATGCGTTTAATAACTTAGGGGAGTTATGGAAACAGGTGGGCATGGCCAGGGGCCAGAGGCCAGGAGTGTGGGGAGATGTTCTGAGGGAGAGTCATGAGATATAGGATGGTCTCACTGCCCCGGCCTACCTCTGGAGTTGGAGTGAGAGCAGTGGGTTGCCCCTTTGCTCAGATGAGCAGATGGAGTCTATATTTGTCTTCTGACCCACTCCTGCCCAAGGCCCTGTGTGGAGATGAGGGAACGTCCCTTCTGTTCCCGCAGCTGTGAATCCAGTGTATACATGGCCATTCTTTTTACTTCCCTCCTCCCCGACACGTTCATGTGCCTCAGACCCAGGACTCCTCCTCAGGTGGAAGTGGAGCTTGATCAAGCCAGTGAGGTCGCAGGTCCTCTGGAGTCTGGGGCCTGCTCTCCAATGGAGCGGCTGGCTCTTTCTCCTTTCCTTCCTCCTCCTCCTCACCTACTGAAGCTCCGTCCACCCGGGATGCCTCCCCTCCCTTGCTGCCCAGCACAGCTCTCAACAGTCTGTCCCTGCGGGGCGGCCTGGCTGGACCCAGGCAGACATAGGCCAGTGGCTTGGGGATTCGTGAAGGCTGCTTCTCAGGCCTGTGGTCTCTTCGGGGCCGGATCCTGGGTCTCAGCTTCAGCTTGTAGATGGACGGGACCTTCTTGGGCTTCCGGAGAGTTCTCCTGCCCTCACTTAGACATGCCTTGACTTTGTCAGAGTTGGGGTCCAAGGGCAAAGGTGTGGGGGCCTCCGGGCTGGCAGACGCAGTAGGGGCCGAGCAGTCCTGCCCTCCCTGAGGTGGGGCCTTCCTCATGTGGGTGCCCTTGGCACTCAGGCTTGCCTTTGTGCTGGGCCCACTCTGTATGGCTCCCAACTTCCCTTTGAGGCTTCCCGGTCCTGGGGTAACAGCTGGCTTAGGGGAGCCAGTCGGGGCTGCCTTCCAGGCTTCCAGGTCCACTTTAAGGAGGGGTGGGGGGCCCTGAGCCAGTTCTTGGATGACTTTGTCATAAGGACCCCCAGGCTCAGGCCACCGCCCACCCAGGCTGGGGACATAGACCCCACTGCGAGGGATGACCCCAGACCTTGTGCCCTGCAGACAGGCACTCCCGACTTCTAGCAGCTTCATGTTGCCCAAAATCTCCTCTTCAAGGCTACAGTAGATGGCTTGCTCCTTGTTCCTGCCCAGGGGCAGAGGTGTGTACTGCCCCTCCTGCTCCTGTGGGCCCAGGTCCTGGGACACTTTGGCCTCTGCCATGAGCTGGATGTCCAACTGCTGGCCCTCCTGCCTCACTTTCACAGAGCAGTCCCCATGCGTGGACCCAGCCAGGTCCGCAGTGACGGCCCTTAGTGGAATGGGGTCTCTCCCAAGTTCTGTCCCGGGACTTCTACTTGTAGCACCAGGAAAGCTCCTTCCTGGTGTCGGGGGGTGAGGAGAGGGCAGCCGGATGGGGGTCTTGGTTAGGTCTTGGACAGGGGTTGGAGAACAGACAGACTCTGGCTCCCTGAACTGGAAGAACGCACCCTTGGCCTTATCCTGGAGTGGCAGCCTGAGGCCCAGTTGCTCGGCTGGGCTACAGGAACGAGGCAGGGGAGATAGTCCTCTTGCTGATATCCCTTTGGTGGTGGCCTCAATGTCTCGGAGTCTTTGTGGGGTGGGGTTCCGGGCATCAGTTCCCGGGCTGTCTGTTTTTTCATGAACCCAAGATGTGGGAATCCTTCCCCTGGGGAGTCCAGGGGGGTATCTATCCTCCCTCTTTCCTGACAAGGTGCACTGTGGGTCTCGGCCCTTTTGGGAAGACGAGGACTGGGGGCTGGGTGGGCTGTCCCCAGCTGTCGGCTGCCTCCAAGATGGGGTGAGAGGCCTCTCCTGGCACCTGAAAGGGAGAATCACAAGGCTGCAAAGGGAGACTCCTCAGGCCGGCAGGGTCATCTAGTGTGGTCCCTGGCTCTGGGAAGTGACGGCCTTTCCCCAGTGAGAACACCCAGGGGGCTCGACTTCACGCTGAATGAAACCTATGCTCCCTCTCCTCCCTGACTGCCTTGAAATCCTCCTTATGACAGTCACTGCCTAAGTCTATGTGCCCTTGTTCCTTGTGTAGCAGATAGAAGGAAGCCTGATCCTGGCCTGAGGTGACTTCAGATCCTTCGAGGGATGGCCCCAGACCAGTTGCAGGGCAGTGGAGAGACAGAGGGGAGTGCATGGGTTGTCTTAGTCTGTGCTCTACCGTGAAATGGTAGGAAACCTTGAGTAAGTCTGTTCCATTTCTGAGCCTCATCTGTGAAATGGGAAGGCATATGAAGTAACCACATTATCCCAAAGGTACTGGGTGTGCTTCTGGTTCCAAACACCTGTGGTCTCGGGATAGAGTCACTGCTGGGGATCTGCTCCTCTTATCTTGGAGTGTGGTGGCCTCTGAGAATGTGCACTCCAAAGGAAAAAGAGCCCCTTCCCTATCTCTTCCCCATACCTCAGGAATGGTGCCATCTCTCTGGACGCCCCCATCCCTGCTCCCCATTCCCTGCGGGGTCTGGGGGAGGATGGGGTGGGGGACCTCAGCCTTCGGCCTGAAGAGGCATATGTCTTCCAGTCCACGGGGGGTGGCGGGCTCTGTGAGCGGCTGATGGTCATCGTAGGCTGGGTCTGTGAGGGTCCATCCTGTACCCTTACTTCGTGCTGCACTGGTGGGGCCGGGGGCTTCAGGAAGTTGCCTGGCTTGTGTGCTACCAACAGTGCCCCGGAGAAAGGAGAGGAGAGAAGAGTTCAATTCCTGCTGATGGGGCCCATTGTTCCTCCCCCAGTGGTCCCATGCCCCACACCCCACACTAAAAACAGTGGGACCTACAGTGGCCACACCAGAGTTTCTTTACAGGAGGGGCTTGGGGACCCAGCTGGGGGATTTGTTTAAAGCTATGTTTGTAGTGCAGGTACACAACTTTCCCTTAGAGCGTGTGCTTATTTGGAGTGGCTGGAGGCATTGATGGAGATTATGGAAGAACTAAAGACCTTCCAAGTCACACTTGGTACCAACACTGTGGATCCCAGAGCCAGACCTAAGCTCTGCCAAAATGCACCCTGGCCAAATGCTGCTTCTGCGTGTGTTGCACACCATCTTGTGGTGACATTTAGTACTGTACTGTGCCCAACTACTGCCTTCCTTCCTCCAGCCTCCCCACAAACCTCTTCCCCCTGGAGATCAGACATACCTCCCACCTCTGCCTCCAGCCTCCCAACCCAGAGTTACGCCTTTTCAACCAACCCCGCAGGGAGAGGACCCTCAGGGGACTCACAGAGGGATGTGCAGCGGCAGGGGTCATGTTTGTCCAGATAATGGCCCAGCGTGTCCCAGCCGCCCCCTACACGTACCATCACATTGTTCCGGAGGATCTGAGGGGGCAAGGGTGAGGTTGAGGGCAGGGTGGAGGGCAGCCTCTCTTCCTGGACCAGCTTGCGGGCTTCCGGCACCCACTCGGGGATGCTCTCATCCAGGTACTCATCCACACATAGATGTATGTGTGTGCCGTAAAAAGGCAGCCCAAATCTCCTCCTCCATGACTGGCATCAGATAACACATGAGGTCAAGGGTGGGGGCCAGGCTGAAAGCTGTCCCACAGCTGGACAAGGGATCCCAAAAGCATTGCAGAGGCTGCCCCCAGAGCGCTCCTTTCGCTGTAAACGGTTTTGCATCTACACATGCCTGTGTCCAAAATGGGACCCTAATGCCACTGGCTTTGCCTCTGTGGCCTGTGTGGGAGAGCCCATGGGAGTCCTGATCCCACTCCACCCTCAGGCAAGTCACATGTCTCTTCAAGCTTCAGCTTCCTGTCTTGGAAAGTGGGGCCACAAGTTCTTGCCCCTATCTGCATCACAGGACTGTTGCCTCAGGTCTAGGGGAGGGCCCAGAAGGCTGGCTCTGCTCCCAGATGTGGCCTGTGCCCCAGGAAAGGGCTGGGCCATGACCCGAGCTGCTAGCCACACCCGTGGGTACAGATCGTTTCTGGTGAGGCCAGGTATTGGGGTGGAAGGCACATTTCAGACCTGTGCTGCTACTCACTGCTGAATGTACCCCCAGGCAAGTGGTGGGGGTGGAATTACGGGGTCTGTGTGTCTGGGGCCACGCACCGAAACCAAACTTGGGGTTCTCAAGCCGCTTCCTCTAATCAAGCCTGTGGGTGGAGTGGAATGGAAAAGTGTGAGCACCCTTCTCCATACCCCACTCCGCCTGAGAACACGCTCTAGACTGGGCCATGGTGGCGGAGAGGAGGGAGGGTGGTGGCTCTGGCTGCCCTGATGGGAGGAAGAGATAGTCTTGTCACCTTTGCCAGGGATCTCCTGGAATTCCCCCAGGGAGAGAAGGAGAGCTCCAAGGCCTGATGGCTTGGGGTGAATGATGACTTACTGTCATTGCCATTAAGCCTGGGCAAAGTCCCATATTCTGGGGGACTTACTGTCATTGTCCCAAGCCTGGCCAAGAAACCCTATTCTGGGGGTCCCTTGACCCCCAGCCTGGACTTACCCGGATGAAGATGAGGGTGTTGGAGTCACCCACACGGTACTTCCCCTCAGACACTTTGACCATGGAGAACTGCACCGGGCACGTGCAGTGGCTCACAAGGTTCTGCACCTGCGGGCGGGTGGTGAACTCAGCCCTCTCTTTTCCCCACTCTGGGTCAAAATGGGGGGCCTACCTGCCCCCACAGTCACCCCTGAGGTTTCTGCTGAGGTCAGGGCTGCGGGCTGAGAAGCAAAGAGGGAGTGGATAAGGCTGTAAATGACCCAGTGAGAACGAGAGCTGGGTGGTCACCCATGGACCTACCTACCATGAGGTCCAGAGCCCTCATGGGTCAGCTGATGGAAGCAGCGGAGTGTCACGGGGGGACTGTGGGATCTGACAGGCTGGGGTCAGTGCCCTGCATCCACCGCATCATAGGCTTTTCATTAAGAAACCTGCCTGAGCTCCATTTCCCCCAGGGGTTAACCACACAGAACTAACTGCTGTGAAGCGACCCTCTGTGCAGACCCTGTTCCAAGCACTTTGTATGTGCTGGTTCGTTTAAATGAAGGTAGGTGCTGTTACTGTCCTCATGCTGCAGATAAGGGAAGCCAGACACAGAGAGGTTAAATAATTTGCCCAAAGTCAGGCAAGCTGCAAAGCAGTGGAACTAAGACTTGAACCAAGGTGTCTCAGAGAGTGCCACTGTCGGTGTTCTTGAAAACTGTGGCAGCAGAGGTTAAATGAGAGGGGCATCCAGTGCTGGGCTGGTAAGAATGCTTGAGAAATGACATGGCCATTAATTACTACGGGTGGTTAGGGTTGAGGCTCAGAGTGGAACCGTGCCTTAAGGCCACACAGTGAATTCGTGTCAGGGCGGACAGTGGAGCTCAAGAAGCGGGTGGATTAGAGGGGGCTGGAGTGGGATTGGGGAGAGGAGCACGAAGGACAAAGGGAAGGGGGCCCTGAGGGCGTGTGCAGAGCCCCTCACCATCTGGTCCAGGTTCCGGAAGTGGCAGGGCTGGCGCCTGGGGGGCGCTGGCGGCAAGGGGTCGGGCGGAGGCAGGGCCAGTTCCCTCCGCACCTCCTCCTCGATCTCCTCCTCCAGCTGCACGAGGGTGGGCGCCGCAACGCCAAAGCGCCACGCCCGGCGGCCCAGCTCCAGCAAACACAGCACCACGTTCTTCACGTTCTTGCGCTGCACCAAGTCTTCCGTCTCGAACATCAGCACCTCTGGAGTGGAGGTGGGGAGAAAAGGGTAGAAGCAGCGTGAGCCCCCGGAGGACCTGAGCCTCCGGGCAGGGGCGAGCGGGGAGGAAAGCCCTGGGGTCATCCCCGGTCTGGGGCAGCAAGGATCCTGACACGTCACATGGGGAGTGGTTTGGGTCTCAGAATCTTGGGGTCAAGTCAGCCCCCTAGGAGGGGTCTGGGCGGAATTGCTCAGGTGCTGGGTACAGACATGTGGCCCATCTCACAGGACAGGCTGCGGGTGGGAAGAGGTGACAGCAAAGCAAAGGCACCTGGAGACTGGCTGTGAGTGTGAGTGAGAGAAGGATGAACTCCACCTTCCCCTCTCCCCACTCAGTTTGCCTGGGTGGGTCCAGGAGCAGGAAGCGGTTTGTTCCACTTTCCACCCACGCCTCTCCCCTCCAATCTCTGCCAGGCATCTCAAACTCAGCTCCCACCCAGGCCCAACCAGGCACACTGAGGACATGCTCTGGAGCCAACCACTAAGGCTGGAGTCCTGACTCACTACCAACCGCATGACCTTGAGCTAGACCCTGAGCCTCAGTTTCCTCTTCTGTAAAATGGGGATGTAGTCTGTTTCATGGGGTTGTTGTAAAGATTGGATATGCTAACAGTTGTTAACCATTCACAATGTTCCGCACATGCAAGCATTCCTTAAAGCACTAGCTTCTACTAACCTTCCAATTCTGCTCCTCAGTGCCCAGCCACCAGCCAGTAGCCCAGGCCGCACCCTTTCCCCAGTCTCACCCCTGCCACCTTTGCCAGGAGGATGGCGCAGCATCCAGTCTTATCCCATTCCTGGTTTCGAGGCCAAGGAGATGAAGGATCCTGACATGTCACTCCCTGAACTCTACAAGCCCCAGCATGACGGTGCCCCTCCCTGGCGTCATCCCATCTGTCTCCTCCTGTGTTCTCTCCTCATCCTAGCCCTGTGCCCTCCCCACCAGGCTCCCCCCAGTCATTCACACACTGCTTTTTCTGCGCCTTTGCCCCTGTCGTCCCCCCTGCTTAGAATTTCCTTCCTACAAAATTATATTTATTCCTCGAGACTCAGGCCAGC